TGGAGAAGGATAGCCTCGCAATAGAGAAAAAAATATTCTCTAAGGGGAAAGAAATAATAAAATCAAGCTGGTTTATGGTTTGTCAGTCCAAAAAGCTTTTAAGCTGTATCTATAAAGGTGTTTTTTACTTAATGTTTGTTCTGCATTTCAGGCATCATTGTGTGATAAGTGGTATAAATTTAGCCCCTTTAAGTCTGATCTCCTAGGGGTTGAGATTTAAGTGTTGGAACGAACTGTATTTGAAAGGACTCTATTGATTGGGCTTTGATTTGGTACTTCCTTACCAAAGAGAGTTACTAAATAATGGCTGGCTTCCCTGTTTTTATTTTTTTATTTTTTAAGGTTCACTTTATAGGCTTCTCCTCCCCACCCCAGCCCATTCTCTGCCTCCTAACTGTTCTTAAAAAGACTAACATGGTATTAGAGAGAGGAAAAGAGAGAAAGAAAAATCAACTGTCACATTGTGAACATAATTGATTCAATAAATAACGTCTTTCAATTCCCAGGGCAAACCTCAGAGTCCTCACTGATGTCAATTAGTGCTCAGCTCAATAAGTGGTGGCGGTCTTCATTTAGACAGATGGGAGAGTTCACAGACTCCCACCTCTCAAGGAAGGAATGTGCTTTTCTTCTTTTAAAGACATACTAGCTGGATTTATGCACCTGCTCTGCAAAAAAGAAGTTTGAAAAGGAATTTAAGTGGGAGTTTTTAGTATTCCTAAAAGTAGAATGAGGACATTTAATTACTGTCCAGGGGTTTGTTAAAACAAAACAAAACAACAACAAAAACAAAACAAAATAAGAACAGAAAAATAAAAATTGCCTAGAATTCACAGGTCTGTTACAGCTCTATGATGGTGGGGCCTGTCTTGTTTTTTGCCATTTAATCTCTAATGCACACAGTAGGTGCATAATAAATATATTAATTGGATTGGGTTTTGAATACATGAGGACAGAAATGAGTACAATCCAAGTCTTACGTTAAGAATTTGACATACTTATATATATTATGTCAGAATGGATTCTATGTTCATGTATAACTAAAAAGAACCAATAAAAAACTAAAAAAAAAAAAAGGCCATCAATCGATGAATGGCTAAAGAAAATGTGGCATATTACATGATGGAATTTTATTGTCATAAAAAAATCAAATTATGTTATTTGCAGGAAAATGGATGGAACTAGCGACCATTATGTTAAGCAAAATAAGCCAAACTTAGGTCAAGTGTTGCATGTTTTCTTCTCACATGTGGAAGCTAGAGAGGAAAAAGGAAAATAAAGGTGGGGGACGATGTGTCTCATGAAAATCAAAGGGAGATGGGTAGAGTAAAGGGATGGGGAGGGAGGAGGAGAGGGAAGGGGGAAATAGTGGGGAATGATATTGGCCAGATTATATTGTTATATTTTGTGCATGTACAAATATGTAACAATAAATCCCACTATTATGTACAAATATAATGCACCAATAAAATATGGAAAATAATAATAATGGAGAAAAGAAAGAAAAACAGATTTGCATTAAAAAAAAAAGAGTTCAGTTAATTTTTGTTCCTCTGATTGTTTCATCCCCTGCCTCTGCTTCTTTCTCCCAATTATTTAAAGGAGAATAACTCCAAAGAGTACAGTACATATTGCATCTTCAGAAGTGATTAAGGAGACCCTACTTCATCAGTTCCCAGACTGGTAGAGTTTGAAAGGGATCTCAGAGGTAGTATGAAGCTGCTACTTACAAATTCCAGTATGTGAACTTGTGTTTCAGAATCACATGGAGCATGTTATAAATGCACAGATTCCAGGCCTCAGTCCTGGGATTTCTGATGGAGTCACTGGTAGGGAGTCTATTTGAAAGTTTATTTGCTTTTGTGGATTGCTGTAGAAATTCTGGTGTGCAGAGGGTGTAGAAGACACTAATCCAATTTGCCTTGCAGACCCCTGACCTCTGTGGTCTGAGGCACTCCTTAGTAAAGTGAGCAGCCTAAGGTACCCAGCAGAATGGCCGGTGGAGCAGTGACTAGGACTCAGGTCTCCTGGCTCGGATGACAGCATCTTGGGTAGTTTACTGCTGTGCTTTGGCTGATGCTCCATGGCACTGGATATGTCTCAATTTTTCTTCCAAGATGATGGCTGTGTTTGGGGTGATGGCCCTGGCAGAATCTGAAGAACCTTCTGGATCAGAACTCATTAATTCTACTTTGGTGTTAATATATTCTGTTGTTTTCTCTAGTGATGCCTTTGATTACCTCCATCTCCATCTTTGGCTCAGAAGGAGTAGGAAGTCCTTGCCTTTGTTCTGTAAGCCATTCAATGTTTTCCAGCCCTGCTTGATCATAAGAGAATCATATGAGAGCTCATTCTGGGTGTAGGGACCCGGGACCTGCTTGAGTCCTGTTACAGCAGAATCTTCCTGAGAGGGGTTGGAAACTGTATATTATTATTATTATTATTACTATTATTATTATTTTGGTGCTGGGGATTGAAACCAGGGACACTTTGCTACCAAGCTATGTCCCTAGTCCTTTTTTTATTTTTATTTAATTTTAATTTAGTTTTATTTTGAGACAGGCTCTCACTAAATTACTGAGGCTGGCTTCAAACTTGTGATCCTCCTACTTCAGTCTCCTGAGTCACTGGGATTATAGGTGTGTGCCACCATGCCCAGCAGGGGACTGTATTTTACATTCTACTCCTAATTTTTTTTGGAGTAAGTATTTAATAAGCACATTTTATTTAAATAAATCCTCCAGTAAATAAATGGAGAATTTACTGCCTTCACTGTGTACATAGATATGTCAAATTTACATGTGCAGCTCTCCAACATTCCCCTTATTGGAAACATCCATGTTTCCACATCACAGTTCCCAGAAAGACTTAAATGTCTCAAAATACTGTATCTCCTTTGGCTTGTTTTTCTCTTGATACCACCCAGGCTTTATTAATGGTTCACTTCATATCATCATCTCCATCTTCATAAATTTTCTTTAGAACATTCACTAATCCCTCACTAGGATCTGTTTCAGTGTCATATGAAGGCTTTTCTTTCTCTTTGCATTCTTTTTTCAACCTGAGTCAAGTACTCTCACTGTTGTGTTTTCTGCTTTCTTTCTACGTATGATGAGAACTGTGTCAGTCTTAACTGTTTTTGAACTGCTTTCCTCAGAGAAGGGTTTCAAGAGATTGTTCAGAATCATGGAGTAACTCTTCCCATTTAGAGTCTTTACCAAAAATCAAACGACCCTCTCTGTGAAATGAACCTGCACATTCTCAGCGGGAATTTGATGAACTCCCGTTAAAGTGATGTAGATTTTCACGAATTTATCGGATTGATTCCATCCATAATTACTGATTTTCAGGGTATATCCTGTTGTAATGGGAGCAACCACAGCAGCTGGCTTTTCCTCCTCAAGAAGTTCTGGTTTCTTCTGTAATTTCTGTTGCATCTTGTCCTTTATTTCTGTATCTGTTTTTTCCCCCTGCTGTAAGAGCATCATGTACTCTTTTTCCAGTGGTCTTTTCCAGCAACACCTTTACTTCTTCTAGATCTTTCTGCAGCTCGTCCAGAGCTGAAGCCGTGGTCTGGCTGGATCAGGCCGCAGGCTCGCGCTGCAGCCATCCACCTGAGTCAGGAAACGCTGCAACGAGCATGTAGACCCGCATAGAACTAGCAGGCGCAGCCCGCGTGCACAGAGACCCTGAGCCAGACTGCAGCCGCCCTACGCATGTTGGAGCCTCTGGAACCTTTGCAAGGCCGCAGCCCCACTGGGCCCCACCCCACTGAGCCCCCCTCGGTTCATAATTTTTATTCTCTTCAAATGCTTTTCCAGCCTCTGTCTCTGAGAATAGTGAGTCCCTAGACTCAGCTTTGAGGCCCTTAAGACCCTCCTTCAAATTTACATATAATTCCATCTTGCCTGCCAAAGAACTTGTCCGTGAAGGAAGAAAAGATAGATCTATCTACTTTCCTCCAAGGTAGAATTTTACTGCACAGGGCAGGGGTGTAGGAGGTTGGCTGGACAGTTGTGGATTGAGTGGTGCTGGAAGGTTAAGAGGTATCTCTAGAACCGGAGCAGAGGGCCTATGTGCCTTCCCTGTCCTGTCTCTTGAAAGCTGTATGACTTTGGGCAAATTGCTTAAAACCTTTTGAGTTTGTTTCCTCATTAGTAAACTGTGGATAAGAATACTACTTGCTTGAGGGTTTTGTGTGTATCAGACAAGGGGTTACAGTTGGGCTCTGGGTACACAGGCTCAGAGATGGAGGTTTGCATGCAGAGTGTATTGGAGATAACTTACAGGAGGAACTCCATGATAGAATGAGGGAAGCAGGATTAGGAGAAGGTGACGTTGACCAGGGTGAAGTTGCAGCAAAGGTCTCAGCTCCTGCTGTGGAGAACAACAGGGTGAGGTGCCCTTCAAAATTGTCCTGAATTTTTATCCTAATATCCAGCAGCTGTTGGATGTGGCTGTGCCTGGAGGCAGGCATGGCCTCAGCTCCCTTTGGTTGAGGGTGGCTGTGTGCCCAAGCAGCTTACAGTCCTGGTCATTGGGGACAGGAGTGCTTGTGACCTGGAGGGTAACTCACTGGGCACTCCCGCACCCACTGCACTGGTAGCACACAGGATGTCTTGGTAGTGAAGTGAGCACACTTGTCAATGTTAACAAATATTAGCTCATTGCTATTCTAGCTCTGGCAATGCCGATCGGTAGCTGGGCACTTTCAAGAAGTTGCCCAACTTCTCTTGGGCTATCCTTGTGTTTACCATGGAGATCCCAAACTCTGCTTTGCCTGTCTCCCTAAAAGGGTCTGAGCACATGTGGAAATATAGTGTAGGTGAAATTTGTGAGTAAAATATTATGAAAATGCATGAGATGACTCTGAGCCTACTTTATTGAAATGAATATCTAGCTGTGATCTGGATTCCTTGAAGGGACAAGGATGTGATAAATGTAAAAGTGCTTGTCTGTGAAATATGGCATTTTGATTTTTTCTTTCTCTCTCTTTATAGGGAATTAGAATAATGGAGATGCTGCTAAAGGAACAGTGTGGTGCCCCCTTAGCTGAATAAGGAATCATCAGTGAGTACCAAAAGCAAAATCAGAATCATTTACTCAAGCCATGTGTTCATGATTATGAGCTTGGCATTATGTATCAGTCTCCCTGGGCTATTCATGCTGTATATTTCCCAGCTATGTCTGCAGAATGCTATTTCACAGGTGTTTTGTTATCTATTCAGTACCTTTATTTGCTTGGTTCTTTGATTTTCAGAGCAGTTTTGTACTACGTGCTGGGTCACAACTGCATTCAAATTGTTAAAACTGTTCAGTATAATCTACCCTGATTGAGACCCTCAAGGTGGCATAGATTTGTAAAGACTGCAGCTCAGGATTAACTGAAGCTTAATATTATTGTTCAGAGAACAACAAAAGCAGATTTAAAACTGTTATTGGAGCAGGAAGGATAACAAGAAGGGAAAATGTTGATTGGCCAGTGAAACAAATGTTATCTTATTAGTCATACAGGTTGAGCATTCCTAATCTGGAAACCCAAAATAAGAAATTCTCCAAAGTCTGAAACTTTGAGTGCTGACATGATGTCACAAGCGGAAGATTTTATACCTGACCTTACATGATGATGGCAGTCCAGGTGTACTAAAAATATTTCCTAAACTTACCCTTAGGCTATGAGTATGAGGAGTATATGAAACAAAACTGAATTTCATGTTTGGGTCCCATTTCCAGGATATTTCATTACGTAGATGCAAATATTCCCAAATCTGAAAATATGTATGTTCCCAATCCAACATACTTCTGGTCCTAAGCATTATATAAAGGATACTCAACCCACTGATTGAAGGTGTCTGCCTGAAATGCTATTCTGAAAGATTCTAAAGCTTGAAAATAGTGCTAAGGCTATGGGTAAGGGAACCTTGAGTGATTTGTAATGTATGCTATGGTCACAGGCAGCAAACAAGACAGCTCTTGTGTATGGCAAATGGTGAAGGGTTAACAACAGATACTGGGGAATCACAGAACTATTCACTTTCCCTCCCCTGGTAATTTCTATTGTCTACATCAAGGAGAAAGTTTTTCATAGTGGAAAGGATGGGACAAAGCTATTTAATAGAGAATAAAACCAAAATAAATGAATAACATCTTGCTGAATTTAAAGGTAGATTTTTAACATTAGAGAGAAGGTAAACCTCCGAGTAAAGCAAACAGTGCTTTGGGTATTTCAGAATTACCTTATGTTGGCTTAAAAACACAGTATATGGTTTTGTATAAGTGACCTCGTGTTCTAATTGTAATGCACAATGAACTCTGAGAGCAATTTATGAAAGAATAAGCAAAAGGAACACTTGTATACAAATGCCTTGGTATTCAAAGCATGCTGGCCAGGCTTGTGAATGAACATCAGTTGGAAACTGTAAAGTGTTTCTGTTTTTTGCAGATTGGACTCCATTCTGATTAAGCTTCCATACTTGACACATATTAATAGATTTCATTATTACTGGAAAGGCTAAACAAGATCGTTTTACATAGCACACACGGCAGGTGCTCATAAAATGTCAGAACTTAAATGTTTTACTCCCCATTCCTTAAGAAATTGTAGAGAAGAATGTGGCCACGTCACCCGAGGCTCACTGAGCATTGCTTGTATTTGGGCACACATTTTACCCTGGCTGGTGGGATCTAAAGTCAGGTTCTGGTTCCATAAAGGCATGAGGGGCCTCCGATTACATATACCTATCGTTTTTCAAACTTCAAATTAGTGTCATTAAAACTTTAGCAGACATCAGAATCATCTGGAAGACTTGTTAAGCACAGAATGGTGATTCAGTAAGTTGGGTGGTCTCCTGAGCGTTTGTGTTTCTAGAACACGTTCCAGGTGATGGTGATGGTGGACCCAGGACCACATTTTGAGAGTGACTGCTTTAAATGAGTTCCCATTTTTGGATGGAGACAGATTCAGTGCTTAGGCACTAGGGGGGCTTACAGCTGGGGTTTTGAAATTGTTGCCCGAATTTGGTCAACTTTAGATTAATTGGAAGAATGGTTTTCTTTGTATGCCTTTTCTCTGATTTTAGCATCTCAGTCTTGCTTGCCTTTTTTTGGTGATTTGAATGTTGACAAGCCCTAGGCTGAAGTGGACACAATTGGTAAAAGAGCTGAGACTCAGGTCATCTTGTGCTTTGGAGCAGCTTGGATTTAAAGTGTTGTTAGTAAAGATGAGCAAATTAAATAATTTAGTAGCATTTCCTTTTGATTACCTATTATCTTTTTTTTTTTTTTGTGTGTGTGTGTGTGTGTGTGTGTGTGTTTACTGTGATTGAGGCCTAAGCCATGAATTCAGGGCTTTGCATTGTTTGCAAAAAAAAAAAAAAAAGAAAGAAAACCAATTCATTCTCCTCTCTTTCAAGTGGAGTGGTGGTGTTTAAGTCTGCATATAGCCAGGAGGTTAGTATAGGATAGTTGCGTTTTTCGCAGTCAATATAATAGAATTCATGAAGGATTTACATAGTTCAAACTCAAAGTTCATAACCAGTTTTTCTCAGAGGAGAAAATGTAAAGTGAGCACATACCCATTAACTCTCACTAATAAATCTACAATTACTGTAAACTAAAGGCTGTTGCTAAGGCTTTAAGTTTTTCTCAAAATTAGCTTCAGTGAGATATCACTTATATACAATTAAATATATATATAATTTGTGTGTTTGTGTGTATGTGGTGCTGGGGATTGAACCCAGGGCCTTGTGCACGAGAGGCACACTCTCTACCATAAATGAACTAATTTTAAGAGTACAGTTTGTTGAGTTTTGAAAAATGAGTCATATAAGCATTGCCACAAATATGGTACAGAAAATTTTGAGGCTTTGATGTTACCAACTTATCCCCTCCCACACAAATTTCTTGACTATTTTTACAAAGCTTTTCAATTTTGAGATGTTTCTGTTTTAATGAAACTTTTTATTTTCTTTAAAATAGCTCTAAGGAAAATGTGGGGATGGTTTTAGGTGTGTCAAAGGATTACTTGTTTTTGAGTAGTGTAAAGCTATGTTAAAAGAAATGGTACACCATACTTAGACAGTAGGGATGAGAATATGATAGTCCAATAAGCTAAATCAAGTCTGCTGTCTACTTTTATAAATAAAGTTTTATTGGGACACAGCTATGTACTTGACTATGTTCAGACTTAAAACAGCAGAGCTGAATACTTGTGATAGTAGAGACCTTATAGTCTGCAAAGCCTAACATATTTCTTATCTGGCCTTTTAAGGAAAGAATTATTGCTTCCTGAGTTAGCATCCTAAATTAGTCCAAATTAATGTCAAGGAGTGTTGTGATTGCCTTTTTGTGTGTGTGTGTGATGCTGGGTATCAAACCCAGGACCCTTTGCATGCTACATAAGCACTCTTGTCATTGACCTACATTCACAACCTTTTTTACTTTTCATTTCAGTTCATTTATGTATTTTTTATTGGTGTTGACCTTTTTTCTTTTAAAAAAAATTCAGTATTTAGCCAGGCACGTTGAAGAATTAAGACTCTCAAAATCAACCAAACACAGTGGGGCACACCTGTAATCCGAGCAGCTTGGGAGGCTAAGGCAGGAGGTTCGCAAATTCAAAGCCAGCCTCAGCAACTTAGTGAGACTCTGAGCAACTTAGCGAGACCTTGTCTCAAATTAAAAAGTTAAAAAAAGGCTGGGGATGTGGCTCAGTGGTTAAGTACCCCTGGGTTCAATCCTCATTATAGATAGATAGATAGATAGATAGATAGATAGATAGATAGATAGATAGATAGATAAACAAACAAACAAACAGTATTCATGATATCTTACCTATGTTCCAAAGTTTATAGTTTGGCAGTTTATTTCCCCTGCATTGAGTCTAGGATTATCACTTTTGTGATTTGGATGATGGTATTTTCAGGATACATAAAAAGTACTAAAATGATAACAGTGAACTTAAAATACCAGCCACAGTGGTCATTAAAATTGCTCATAAAGTTCTCAACACACATACCCAGTGGAGTAGAAATACAGGCATTTTGTTAGCAAATAAAGTGGCACTGTGGTGTGACGGTAGTAGAGGTGCTGTTTATAATTTACACAGTATTCTAGACTGTGGAATTTTGCTGCTCTCAATTCTTAAAAGATATTTTGCTGGATTTGTAAAAATGTGCATAAGGAGAGATTACTTAATATTTTATATCACACTGTATTTCACGTTTGCATAACTTAAATACACATAGAATGTGACTACATTTTATATGGTTCTCACAATTAAAGATAACTTCCTCAAATTCTCTGACCTGTATATCCAAACGTATGTTTGAAAATTAGAAAACTTAGAAGGTGATTTTGTCATGAGCCAAAACGGAGGCATATAAATCTCAGTCGCCAGTATGCTTGTGGCGTTGCTGCTGACACATCATTTGATAGATTTTTGATTTCCTGTCATTTTTGAATAAAACAAATAGCCCTGACATCTGTTTGTTCTTGCCACTGGCAGTTGGGAGACTGGACTTGTGAGGTTTGATAACACAGCAGCATTCTGTTACATCGTGATGATTAAGACCTCAATTTTAGCTATATCTTAAACTCCTCTCTGAACCAGCTCCTCTAGCTAGTTGGACTTAATAAAATGAGGTGCTGGCTTTGTTCGAAGATCATTAGGAGGTAGGAATGCGATTTCTTCAAGAATTATCCGTAATGATGAATTCAAGTGACTCTGAGGAGTTGCTTCAGAAAAGAGGGCAAATAAGTATCGATCAGTAGACATGTTTATTAGGTGATAAAGCCTGTTTGTTTTCTCTTGCAGGGGAGCCGTGTCCAAGTGGGCTTCTTTCCAATAATAACTTCTTGGCCACAACGCATCGTAGGCACAGTTCCTGGAATACAGGTTTGAGGATACAGTATTGGCAGAATAAAGAAGAGGAGACATCCTTGCCAGGACATAAAACGATACCCTCCCCTTGGAGCCTGCTTCAAATAGTGGGACTCATGGAGATGAGACCATCTAGCTGGATTTTTATGAACAGTCTCTTTATGATTTTATAAATAAAGAAAAAGATCCATGTGAGATGACATCCACTCTTCCTCAGGATGTCCTGCTACTTGTTTGTGATGGCACCAGGGCAGTCAAAGGCCTGGGGCGGTGGTGCTTGTACCCATATTTTAACAGCATGATTGTTCATGGGATTCATGAGTGGATTCTGGAACATATAAAGTCGTTGACTCGATTACCTGTTCTAGGGGGCTTGAAACAGGCATGTGCCAGACCTGTGCTGAAGCTAAGCCATATGTATACCAATGTTTAAGATTTTCAGAAATCAAAGACTTTTGATGCATAAGCACTGTTAGCATAGCTTTCATAATGTAGCATGAACTGACTGTGCTTGGTGCTCTAGAAGAACATGGAATGGATGGTGGAAGGCAGGTTCTGGTCATGACTCCCAGTAACTCATCCTGTGATATGGAGCAAGTCATTCAGCTCTGCTTTTTTCTTTTTTTTTACTGGAAGAGTGGGGACAATCAGGCACAGGTCTTTTGCCTCTGGGTTGTGATGACTAACAAGATAGTTTAATTTGAAGAACACAAATTTGGGAGTCAGATAGATAGACATGGATTTGAACACAAACCCGTCTACTAGTTCATTGATCACATTCATAAAAATCTTCCTGAAGCTCATTTTTTCACGATTTATAAAATGAGGTGATGAGATGAACTCTGAGGTTTTTGAACTGCTTTGAGATCACGAATATAAAATGCTCATCATGTGGCTTGATGCCCGGAAACCCAGTAAATAGAAGCCATTATTATGTAAAACCATTTGAACATATAGTTTTCAACTGTAATGTCAGGGAGTATTTGTTTGAAAATTAGATGACAGTAGCTTGCCTTTCTCATGATGAGAAGCCGAAATATGAAAGTATGCTACCTAACAGAGAGCTTGAAGAGAGGCAATGATTTGGAATTCATCTTAAGATAAAAATTGGGCCATTACTGGAAATTCTTGGGGAGATTGTTCTTTTTTTAATATTTGAAAGATTTCCACTTAGTGCCTTGATGAATTTCAGAGCAATTCTACTTTCTCATACAAGCCTGCCACGGTGAGCCTCCTCTCCTGTACTTGAGCTGTTTGTGCTGCTTGAGTCTTGTCTCCTGGGATAATTTCTCTTCCATCTCCTCAGTGTTTTATTCAGTTCTGTTGGAGGGAAAATGAATGGTAGAAACCAGAACACATTTTGACCTTCTCTTCCATTTAGTAGGGTTTTGGAATAATAGCCCCTTTCCAAAAGTAGGAGGTGATATAAATTGTTGAAGGTGAAAGGCAAAAATTTTTATTTGGAGATTGATGTTGGGTATAAGCTTAACCTTTCCTACTGAACAATGTGCATCCTCTGCAGGCCAGAGTTCTCAGCCTTGGCTGTCCATTCGGGTCACTTGGGGAAGGCAATGCCGTCCTGATGACCTGGGCTGCACCTAGATCAAGAAATCAGGACCTCTGGAGGTGGAACCCAGGCATCAGTGTTTTCAGAAGTTCCCCATGTGATTCCAGTGGGCATCTAATTTTAGACATTTATCTGATTTCTTTCATAATGTGTCAGAGGTAGGAAAGGATCTCTGTAACAGGGACTTTTACTAGAAGCAGAGTGTAGCAGAGAGAGGCTGAATTGGTGCCTTGGTTCCCTGTAGCTGGGGTGGCCAGTGCCAATGTGAGCAGCGACCTGGCAGCTGGTCTGAAGAGTGAAGCAGGTAGCTGCTGTCGAGGTCCAGGGAGCGCATGTCTGGTTGAGAGTAAGCAGCTGCTGTCCAGCACCAGCATAGTGTAGCAGTGTGGCTGTTTTTTCTATTTTATTTTCAATTTTCCAGGAAAAGGAAAAAAAATAAAAAGAGATCTCTTAATTTTCATGTTGCAAAAATTTCAGAATTGCTTAAAGTCTCTTCTAGCCAAATAGGTTTGCCAGCCAGTACTTTTCAGCCTGTGTTTGTAGGGTGTTAAGGATTGGCCTGCACATCCCAGCCAATTTTTAATAGATTTGCATGTTTGTATTCTGGACATAAAATGCATCCTGCCTTTCCTCCAAGATTGCTTTTGGATGCATTTTTCTTCCTCGTTCCACAGTAATCCTCTGGACCTGCATCAAACACTTTTCCTCACTCAGTATTTTTCCCCTACAGGCATCTTTTACTTCAAGCTTCATATACATGGTTTTCAAAAACTTACGGAGTTTTCAGAATTAATTAAGGTTTTTTAGATTCATTTAACTTATATGCATATTATAGAATCCCATCTTTTACTTTGTCATCTGATATGTAGTGTAAGAAATGTCAAAGCTAGGATTGCTGCTTTGATGGACACACTAGGAACAAGAGTGGGAAGGGTAAATTCACAGACCTGGCTGGTCTCCTCCTGACGGGGCCAGTGAGCCTGCCCTTCAAAGAGAGGATGTACCAGACACCCCTGGAGGGGTGTATTGACCTGCAGGCCCGCTGGTCCTTCCTCCAGAGATTCTGACTCATGCACTTTCAATTGGAACTCAGGATCTGCATTTTGACACAAGTTCTCCAGGAGATTTGGTTGTGCTGTTCCACAGACCACATTTTGAGAAGCACTCATTTGGGAGAGGTATTTTTGGCCTCAATGACTCCTTCATTTACGACAGTTTTACAGTCAGTTTGGCCCCCTGATCAATGTAGTTGATCACTCAGAACTCAGTATGAAGTTCCTGTGCAGAAAGAGGCTGACTCAAGCTATCCCTACAGTGATTGAGGTACTTTTCCCAGGAAGGCTGTTAGGATTTAAATTATATATAAATGAAAAAGGTGCTGCATTATTTTTATATGAATTGCTTTGTGGCTTTTTTTTTTTTTTTCTTTTTTGTGGTACTGGGGATGGAACTCAGGGCCCTGTGCATGCTAAGCACATTCTCTACCACTGAGTTGCACCCCCAGCTCTACTCTGTGTTTTTTATAAGCAGCGTTTATGTATTAACAATCCCATTTATTAGATTTCGTAGGGCACACAGTATAGACAACTCAAGGTTATTTTTTTAAGTTGGACTCTTTTTTTTGCTGTTTCGACCATTTCCATGGAATTGTTTCTTAATCTAGTATACGTTCCCTGCTTTGAAAAACAGAAGCATTGAAGAGAATGAAATGTTTTCAGGTCCTCATTTGTGTTTTTAATTATGACATGCTCTGTCTAGGTTTATTAGAGTCCTACACTGAATAGCCCCAGATGTATTTGCTCTTTGAGTTCCATGGTGGTTTTAAGAGTTTTTCTTTCCCCTCACTGTTAGCTGTCATTTCTCTCTGCTATTTTGGTGTCTGCCTCTGGAAGCTTCCACTATTTGCTATGGGGTTGGGAAATCATGTAACTGCATCCTCTACCTCATGACGTGAACAGCAGCTGAATGAGGCTTTTTGAACGTTAAAATGGGTGAACTTTGCTACATTGACTTGTGACATTATTCGTGGCTCGGCTCCCTCCTTCCAACTTATTTTCTGATCTTCAACTGCGGTTGTCAGATCTGCGACCTCAAGATAAGCAAGACGTTGGTAGAAATCATTTCTCCTGATGGATGAACCATTGCTTTTCTCAATTGTGTTAATTTTTTCTATATATCGTCCTATCATGTGAAATGTAGTGGATTAAAATTCAAATGAAAATTTCTCAGGCCCGGTTTTTATATAGGATAAAATATTTTATATTCAGTATTACTGTGATTTAGATCTATAAATCAGTTGCGTGCTTAAGAAATTCTGTCCTGCAGTCTTTCTGAAATAAAGGTGTTACAACCAATATTTATGTGTGAATTCTAATTTCTTGGGGGCATCACGTCTTTTAGCGTAGTTTGTGTTGATTCTTTTTTTTATATATATTTATTTTTTTAGTTTTCGGCGGACACAACATCTTTGTTTGTATGTGGTGCGGAGGATCGAACCCGGGCCACACGCATGCCAGGCGAGCGTGCTACCGCTTGAGCCACATCCCCAGCCCCTGTGTTGATTCTTTCTAGTAAGGATCCCTGTCCAGCTGCCCTGATGAGGGTGATGTAGCTACTGCATGGTGTTAGTTACCTGAAGGTGAGTCAGTAGTCCCAGAAATAAGCAGAGGCCACCATTGTTTGGTGATCTGGGAGGGTCATGTGCTAATGAAACTAAGGACCTGGGTCCACGGAGGGAGAAGAGAGGAAGCACATTGGGAATGAGCAGCAGCACAAAGCTAAGTGGTCCTAGAGAGGAAGGGACAGAGTAGCTTCTCGTTGACCCTTGTGGCTCAGCTATACTTTTTGTACTTGGTTTTTGTGAGATACACTTTTGTCCTTTTATTTGACCCCTTTAGACTTGGGTTATTTGGTTGGGTTTTTGTGCCTTGTTACTAAAATGCCTCATCCAAGCCCTATTAATGCTCTTCCTTTCCTCTAGTTAGGGTGTGGTGATGACCTTACTTTTAGGAGTACAGTCCTTGTTTGATCAGTATCTATTGAGAACCAGCTGTACACAACAGAAAGACAGGGTTTGTCTTCTCTTTTGACTTTATCCAGTGGATAACTAGAAAGCTTGCGCTTCATTGCTGATGGCTGGTCAGACCAGATACAGCCACCCTTGTGGGGAGTAAAGCAAATGGTCACGATTTACTTAAAGGATGTAGGAGAGAAAGTCAGTATAGGATGCACAGTGGAGAGATGCACATGAAAATGTGAATTGGCCGGGCACGGTGGTGCACGCCTGTAATTCCAGCGGCGTGGGAGGCTGAGGCAGGAGGACCTGAGTTCAAAGCCAGCCTTAGCAAAAGTGAGGTGCTAAGCAACTCAGTGAGATCCTGTCTTTAAATAGGGCTGGGGATGTGGCTCAGTGGTCGAGTGCCCCTGAGTTGAATCTGTGATACCTCCTCGTTCCCCAAATCAACAGCAGGTGCACACTTGTAGATAGAACGTCTGAGTTAGTGTGGGGTATGCCACAACATTTTGGAAGTTGTCAGTTTTTTTTTTTTTTTTTTTTCTAGGCCCAGCCCCATAGATGGGTGGAGCAGGCCCACATGAGATCAGACCAGCCAAGTCAGGAAGGAACTTCAGAGTGTGCAGTGACTACAGGGTACAAGACACCAGGCACAACCTCCTTTACTTTCAGACCCTTATATTACCGCCTGGTCTAAGGACATGCCTGAATTCAGGGCTGTAGAATCAGCACAGTACTTCACTGGTGTCTCTGAGGGAGGCAGGATGGCATGCTAACTATTGCAAGCTAATCCTACAATCCAGAGCCTTAACACAAACTTTGGAGAGAATGAGGCAGATGGAGAGAGGGAATCCTAAGAAAGACAGGCAGACCCAGCATGTTGAGGATCCGGAATAGAAGTTAACAGGGAAACTTACCAAATAGAAATCTAAAATGCAGTATTCCTTACAAACCGTAGCTGTCCTTCAGGAACCCTCTGAGAAGGTTTTAAAAAAATACTAATGCCTGGGTGCCACCTTCAGAGATTCCTTCTGGTTTACTGGTGTGGCTTCCAGCCCTTTTTAATCAGCATTGCAAAAAGCTTCCTTGATGCTTCTTAAAGCATGAAGAGTAATTCCCATCAACTTCAGAGGTAAGTTTCTTCCATCAGTGGTAACCCCTAAGAAACTAGCCAGGAGAAGCAGTTGGAGATAGGAGATTTCTCCTTTATTGTGTTCTGCCTCTACTCATCAGAAAAATAAGCTCCACTAATGGAAGAAAAAAGATTCTAAAAATACTCCACCATGGGCAATCCGTCATTAGGATTAGAAATTTGAGTTGCAAAATTTGTTGGAAGGGTATCCCATGTAGATAAAGGGTCTCATAAAACTCCAGATCTGTGATAATCTCAAAGGGTTAACCTGAGTAACTGTATGGCTGGACCTTAAGATGTAGTTCTTTGAGCTATGGACAGGCGTGCTGTGTAAGAGGCAGCAGAGAGAAAATAGCAGCCACCATCCTGTTAAATTAAACTCCACAGAGCTATTCTGCAGCATTCTCAGAGAAGGTTAGAGCGATTTCGTGCCTGCCATCTGTTAGGCGGCTGATGGAATCATCCCTCCTTCGTGTCAGTGCCAGGATGAACTTTTAGATCTGATGGCAAAGGAGAATATGCTAACTCTTCGACTGTTTTTGTTTTCCCATTTGGAATTTAGGTGTCTCCCTAAATTCAAAAATTCATAGATTGCTCCATCTTTGAAACTGCCACATTGCCACTTTAGAGGTTTAGGGAAATCATTTTCTGGACTGAAGTCCCCTCTGTCATTTGTGTTTGTTTAAGAACATGGTCATTAGTTGATCTTGTCAATCAGGCAAAAAACCAAACCCTCCTTGTCACTAGGATAGGAGCCTTACAAAAAAAAAAGTAGTTAGAAATATAAAATATGAAATTATTACACTCACCATTTAGGGTCATTTGCAAAGTTACAAATTGAACTAAGTCTCCTTTACTTCCCAACAAATGCTTCTGAATTGCTATTTTCCTACCAAGATTAAAAGCCCATACAATGAAACAGAGAGAAAAAGAATGTAATGAATGGGTGATTCCAGAGTATAGTTTCTGCAATGAAAATACGATATGGGGGCAGAGGAGAAAAGAATAAGAAAAACCTATCACAGCTGTACGTGTCACTGATTAAATTAGGGCAGCTGGAAGGAAAACTTCCTGGCTGAGGTTTTCTTTTACAAATGACATTCAAATAGTTTGAGACTGGGGGCTGGGGTTGTGGCTCACCTGTAGAGCGCTCGCCTAGCACATGCGAGGAACTAGGTTCAATCCTCAGTACCATATAAAAATAAACAAATAAAGGTATTGTGCCCAACTATAACCAAAAACATATTTTAAAAAATAGTTTGAGACTGGAGCATATAGGTTTAGAGTGCCCAATTTTTATCTTTCTTCCTTGGTCTTCTTTTTTCCTAAATGTATCATTAGACTTAGCAGAAAAAAATTGAGTGCAGTTTTCTTGCTGGTTTCCTGGTGAGTGGACGTAAAGCCTTTGGACAACTCAAAATCACATGGGAGGCACTAGATGGCTGCAATTTTTTAATTACAGTTGAAATTGGATTAAACACTATGCATCCGATTGCAATTGGAGCCATTCCAGCAGGGAAGGTAGTCTTTTTGTATGTGTGAAGTCAGAAGCCAGCATTTAACTTTTTTCCTTAGGTGTTAATTGTTCTGTCAAGTGCCATGAGAACCATTTCTTCCTGGAGGAAATAAACGCTGGCAATGTTTTTGGGTCTATTAAAGGGAAGAGTTTTGTAGAGATGAATTAGGGAAGAGCAAAGAGTCAGATAGACTTTTATTTTTCCCTGAAACCTCTTCCTGAGAGGCATTGCCTGTGATTTGCAGAGCAGGGTACTTTTTCCCCTGGGATCTATAGTCAATTGTGTGAAGGTGTGAAAAGCTTCTTGGAGCATTTATTTTTCCCAAAGCTTTGTGGGGAAAACATTTTTTATATTAAAAACAAGGAAAAAACTTTGCAGAATGTAAAGTTGGAATATATTCTTTTTTTTTAAAAAAATATTTTTTAGTGGTAGGTGGACATAATACTTTTATTTATTTTCATATGGTGCTGAAGATTGAATCCAGGGCCTCACACATGCTTGGTAAGTGCTCTACCACGGAGCCACAGCTCTAGCCCTGAGATTTTTTCTTGATTAAAAAAAAAGTTTTAAATTTTCCACACATGGGGAAAATTTGGAAATGCTTGTAATGCTTCCTAGCACATAGCAAGTGTCATAGTAGGTTGAACTTAGGGGACATGCTTAATGAACTTAATGGACAAATATCTAGTAAACACAGGCCAATCTTGTCAGCAGATGCAGCACAGATTATGTTGAATACTGAGTTAACATAGAGTCTTTAGATGTAGAAGCTCCTTGGAGAAGGACATATGTAAGTATGAAGAACATTTATTGAACATTAAATTATACGTTATTTTTTCTTGTGCGCGTGCCGTGTGTGTGTGTGTGTGTGTTGGCAGTTTTGTTTTCCTTCTCAGGGAAATATTTTTGTCCATATAACACTGATAGTGCCCTGCTGCTTCCAAATGGGAGGCAATTCAGATACACCTGTATGCCACGATTTTCTCTAACCCGTCAGTCTGCAGTGTTTAATTCAGGATACTTGCTAAAATCATGGGAAGAAGTATAATTAGTGTTAAGGGGTAAAATGACAAACACAAGGGAAAAATTAATGAAGTAGTGTTTTGATTCTTGATTCTGGTAATTACAGAGGTGAGGCTTGCTCAGCTTTACTGAAGCTTACCCTTCCCAATAACAAGCCATTTTCTGGTTTATTCTCTCAGACCTATTTTAACTGTCATTGGGATGGAAATTACATGGCAGTTACCAGCAGGAATAATCATGCTTTTTGTTTTAAAATGGCATACATTTCAAATAAAGATGGCAAGGATGGTAGTTCCTACTTTCTTTGTTCAGATAGTTTGTTCCAGTCAGATCTAAATTTCCTTTCACAAAGTGAAGTTTGAAAGTAAATGTGGCGCATACCTGTAATCCCAGCAACTGGGGAGGCTGAGGGGGCAGGACGATCCAGAGTTCAAAGTTAGCCTCAGCAAAAGCGAGGCACTAAGCAACTCAGTGAGACCCTGTCTCTAAATAAAATAGAAAATAGGACTGGGGATGTGGCTCAGTAGTTGAGCGCCCCTGAGTTCAATCCCTGGTTCACCCCATTCCCCCCAAAAGAAAGTAAATTTTATAGCAGACAAGAAATCTCAAAATCGGATTTGATTCAATTATCCATTGAGCAACGACCATGGACCTAGCTCTAAAGGTTTC